AGGCGCTCGGCTGCTTCGGGTCAAACCTTTGGACACAGCCGCGCAGGTAGCGTTCCTGCCTGGATCCCTGACCACGCCGCGGCCCAGCCGCCGGCGCGTCACGGCCCATTCTTTCAGCACCTCGAACCTTTGAAGAGGCGGCTCATAAAATGGCTCGCGCACTTGGCTCAAAGAGAGGAGACTCAAGCCCCAACGATCGCAGAGTGGTGGCCCTTACTTCGGGCAACAGAAATTGACCTGTATGCGCGTCCCATGTCTTGTCCTGCCCTGGCTGCCTTTGAGTGGCCAGAGGATCCTGACACACGCTTTGAACCAAATGAATGTTGGTTCGAATGGGAGCGTAACATGGGTAAGTCGAACATCTTCGTGCCAACGCTTCGGACATTGCGCAGCGCCAAGGATGGAACAGCACCCTGGCTGCCCATTGATCAAGGCAATGCCATGGACGTCACGTGGCCCAGCCTACGTGGACGTCCACCGGTTGCTTGGGCAAATAGTCTTGTGGCACGTCTTCGTCGTGCTTCCCAGTCCGTTAGCAGGCGCATTACAATGTGTTCCGAGCACCCTCTCGTTTCCGTGTGTACGCATGCCAAACCTGCCCCCGGTCCAACCGTGACGGCAGGTGATGAGAATCTACACATGACCCTTGATTTCACCGCAGTCTGCGGGTCCCAGACCGAGCAGATAATTTGCGGGAAAATCAATTTTGACCAGCCCAATGGGTATGTTTATTTCCATCGCGACGACAGATCGTTGAACATCACATTGACCTAGGACGGAGCCAAAGAAGTGGCCGCTCAATCTGTCATGGAGCACACCAGTTATCGCCCTGAAGCAACTGACCCTGAAAGGTTACGACCATCGGGTGAAGCAACGCACCAAGTCAGGGGAAATGTGCGCAGCACCATTGATTGGAACTGGAATGCCCTTTATCCAGCACTGGAGTTGGGCCTTCGCATTATTCGTGTGATTGTGATTGTTCGCGAGATCATCAGTTGCTTTGTCGCAGAGGGACATTGCATTGCATACCCTGGGGCTCACTCCCTTGCCCAAGGCACCGGCGTATATTACAATGATGACAAGCATCGAAAGGATGCGTGCGCCCTTGATTGCCGCATTCGCGTGGCGATTGAGACAGACGACCTCATTGAGGAATGGGCCCGTAATTTGGGTAAACAGGCTCGTGCAGATATCCGTTGTCAGGGCATGAAGTTTCATAAAGCTATGTATTGGTTATGCCCGCATGTGGAAACCACTGAGCCTCAAGACAAAGATGAAGGCCACTTTCGCGGTGCCTGCGGCAGGGCATTATTGCTGCGACTGCCGCAAGGGATATTATTAGATTCGCCAGAAAGAGAGTGATGACTATTCGCGAGAGAGGAGGCGCTGAGGGGCCCCCCGACGGCCAAGACGATACGGAGGGGCCCACCTCGGCGAAAGCGAGGCCCAGACCGCCACCTCCTCCGCGCAGACCCGACGTCCAAGACGATCGGGCTAACGATGAGGTCACGGAATCTCCGTATTCTGCCGGCGGTCAAACCGCTGCGGCAGGAGATGAGTACTCATGGTATTCGTCTGACAGGGACACACGGGATTGGTCGAGGCCTACGCGCGCGCGCGGCGGAGCCATGGATGTCGGGCGCGGGGCTGCCGGCTACGACCCCTCGAAGCACTACCCGCGCTACGCCAATGATGTGCTGGATGGATACTGGGTTCACCGGGACTCACTATCCTGGATGAGCCCGAGGGACAACCAGTCTTTTGTGTGGCATGTGGCGCACACGAATGACTACAACTTCTACTTTCCGAAGACAGGAAAGGACTCCAAGGACAAGGGTAAGCGCAGCAGGTCAGCGCCTTACGCTGGCCGTGGCAAGGGATATAGATCCCGCTTGCCCCATTGGGCCGCGGGCCAGACGGGGGGCTCGTCATCTTCGCATCCGAGACCTCCGTCTCCGCCATCGCGGGGATATACTTAGATCAAGATCTGAGAGAAGGCCGAGCCCGCGCGACCAAGTCGCTGCGGGCTCAACCGATCGACAAAGTCGTACCGGCAGAGAGAATGTATTTAACTATTGGTGGGAATCGTCGGGCATCTTCTGCCCTCAGCTCCCTGGCAGCCACTGTTGAGCGGTACAAGTTTTTGCGGTTCGCTCCGCTGGTTGTATAATATGTACAGGCCAGGAAGGCTGTGGCTGGATGGGCCCTACGAAGCCCGCTGCGGGGGGGGTAAATATGGTCCTCCCCGCCTCATCTTACACTTGCCTCTCTCGCTGCCTTCTTTGCCGCACCCTGACACTGCGGCCTTGCACCGCAGCTATTTGTGCTTACAGGAGATAGAAGGAGCGTGCTGGCTCGCACGCGCGCGCCGAGGGGCCGCTCCCTCGTCGTAGTCGCGTCGTCGGCCGGCCGGCCTCCTCCCTCGCCACTCCTGAGTACAACTGCTTAGCGGTTACTTGTAGTTCCATCGATGCCTCATCCCGTATTCTCTACCACTGAGCAGAGTCAACACGATGCCTTAATTCCTTTGTCATCTTACCCCGATTCTCAGAGGCAAGACTCCCCCCCCTTCCCTTTCTGTTCCCAGCTTGCTTTCCCTCCCTCCTTCTCCAAGGGAGAGGGTTGACACTCATCCCAAAACGTCCACTCGAAGGTATGGGCTATTTTGAGGCAGCTTTGGCACGGTTCCACGGTGATTTCTCAAGAATACCTTGTGGAGCAGGTTCGAGGACCCAGACTCGGCCGAAATCCAGCGATGATGGTGTCGGGAACGGCTCTCATGGTGTCACAAAATGTAGCAAAACCAGGGGCGACGTCATCACGACGCGAACGAGGCTAGTTCTGGCCCGCCAGCCGTCAAACAGGCCGGGGCCACGAATCAGGGATTCCAATAAATGAGGGGTCTGGATGGATCAGGCCCTCAAGATAAGAACGCGTTCGCAGATGGATTTTGCATCGTTCGGGGCCTCGTCGCCTTGGGGCCTCATGTCTCATCCGCGATCGCAAACCGTCCTACCCGGCCCAAGCCCGGTCAATACCGCTTAATCCAATTTAGTCTTGAGAGTTGTCGGGCCTCATTTGGCTGCAAGCCTTTCAGTCGAGTTGAATCGCCCCTCATCCTTCGCTCGAAGACCTCCAAGGAGTTGCCTCCCAACCGGTGGAAGTCGACCAGACTGAAGCCAGGTTGTCAAGAGGGCATTGGACGGCCCCGTCGCCGTTGGCAGGTCGGAACCATGTCGCCTACACTTTGCTGCGTGTCTGGCGGTAGGCACGTTTCTTGAAGCACTGGCAATGGCCCATGAGGATTTCAAGTCGAGGTGTGGCTGGCGTCGACGCGTTCTGCAAAACAACGCGCGGATAACTCTTGGGAAGCCCAGTATTGGAAGGCATCGGCGTCTGAATGTCTCAGTTCGCACACAGTCCTAGCATATTATATCCGATCGGTTGTTCTGCCTGCTGGTCAGCACGCGCTCGAATGCAATGCGTTTCGGTGCCTTTTTACGCTGATTTCAGTTTTGCATTACGGAAAGAAGCTGGCTATATCAGCTTCTGGTGTGGCCAAAGCAGCTGAGCAGTGTCATGCAGCGTTTGCTGCGGCATGTGGGGTTGAACGACATTTGTGGAAGCATCGCAGTTTGTTCCCAGCAGAGCCAGGTTGAATTCCGCGCCCGCCGGTGACTGATTCACTGACTAATTGACTGACTGATTGACTGACTGAACGTCAGGAGGGCACCTTGAACAACACATTTCAAACCGCCCGCGGGCGCGCAACCGCAACTGGGCGACGCATTTCGACCCGTCCGCGGGCGCGCAACCGCAACCGCAACTGGGCGACACATTTCAACCCGCCCGCGGGCGCGCAACCGCAACCGCACGTGGGCGACACATTTCAACCCGCCCGCGGCCGCTATTCCTTCCTCTGCCTGTCGCCTAGGTTCCAATCCGCCAAGTCGGGTTGCCCTTCTTAATTAGTTATTCGCGTCTTGCCCAAGGTCGCCGCTACCGAAAAAAGCCTGGTGGTATGATTGGCCGCCACGAGCGAACGTGACTCGCTCCGCTCAGGCCGCGGGCTTCGCCGGATCACGGAGGTCAGGGCTGTGAGTTTTGATGATGAGCTCTGCACCTATGCCTGAGGGGTGGATTGCTCCAGGCTTGGCCCGCACGACCAGCACAACCATCATCATTATCAGCATCATCATCATAATCATCACCACCAAGAACCAGCATCACCATCATCATCATCAGCAACAACAATCATCATCACCACCACCACCACCATCATCATCATCAGTATCATCATCATCATCATCATCATCATCATCATCATCATCATCATCATCATCATCACCATCATCATCATCATCGCCGCCGCCGCCGCCAGTAGCATCATCAACGAGTCGGGAGTGGTAGGGATGAAGAGGTGGAGGAGAAGCAGGCGGCAGGTGTGAACAGTAAGCGGGAGGCGGAGATAGCAGGTGGAAAGGAAGGAAGTCGGAAAGGCGGGGAGGTAAAAAGTGGAGATGGAAGAGGAGGGGGAGGAGGGGGAAGAGGAGGAGGAGGAGGAGGAGGAGGAGCATGAGGAGTTGGAGGTGGAAGTGGAGAAGGAGAAGGATGAGGAACGAGAAAACGGACGAGCTGAGAGGTGGAGGAGGCGAGGAGGTTGGAGGAGGTCGAGGGAGAGGTGGAGGAGGAGGAGGAGGAGGAGGAGGAGAAGAAGAAGGAGGGGAAGGAGGAGGAGGACGAGAAGGAGGAGGAGGAGGAGGAGGAGGAGGAGTAGGAGGAGGGGGAGTAGCAGAAGGTGGAGGATGGGGCAGGAGGAGGGGCAGGAGGATTTGATGGAGGAGGGCGCGGAGGTGGAGGTGGGTGGTGGGGGGTTGAGAGGTCAGGATGAGGAGGAGGAGTCATGAGGAGGTTGTCGGAGGAGAAGGGGAGGTTGGAGAAGCAGGGCCGCCTGCCAAGCAGCCGCGCACGGCCGGATGCACGCCCCGCCCCGACCGCAG